GCAGTCGCGTCTTCGATGGCTGCTTGAACGCACTCGGCGCTCACGATCTCGTCGGCGTTCGAGTACAAAAAGAGCTTGGGAATGTGCGCCTGCTCCACAAAGTAGCGCTGCCAGTGCAAGCCAAAGACGTTTGCCGTGCGCGTCACGTACGGGTACAAGGTCAGTTGCACCAAGAAAGCGCGCATGCCCAGCGAGAGGCCGAGCGACGGCAAGTTGCCCGCGCCCTTCCACGTCTCGAGGAGCGACTTGGTCGTCGCCCGGCTCGGCGCCGAGTCGAACACCATCGCCGGCACATGAAATGGGCGCTGGGATCCGCGCAAATGGTCTTCAAAGCAGTACCACGACCGGCACCCGCCGTTCGAAAGCATGTGCGGAATGAGCTCGAGCGACTCGGTTGGCGGCAGCAGGTCGGTTGGCGCTGTCGGGTGCACGTTGGCGCCGTCTGTGAGAAAGTCGCCTTGGCTGCTAAGGAGCACGACAGCGTCGTAGCCGAGCTGCTTGTAGAGCTCGGCGTACTTGGCCACCGGGCGGGCCTTGGCGCCCATCCAGCCGCAGACAACGACGACGCGCTTCGTGGCCATTTTGCAGTCTGGTGTTGCATCGACCATGATCCGGTGACCAATCATATCGTTTGACAGGCGAGCACGCGCTGTGATTGGCGGAATGTTGGCGCCACGTCCTTCTTGGCGAAGCCGGCCGTCGACGCGAGTTCGATTCGCGTGTAGTCATCATAAGCACCATGTTGTGCATATTGTTATCTTATACTAGTACCTCTACATGTAAAGATCACGGATGAGGCTGGCTACGCTCACCAAACGGCAACTCCAAAACGACGTCGTGACAGCGGGACGTCGAGGCGTGCGGCGATCGTACCCGCCTTGCATCTGGGGCTTCGAATTGCGCGCTGTCTCGAGTCTCAAGCAATACTCGTATTATAGCGATGCCTTAGATCAGCGCCTGCTTGAAGAAGGACGCGACCACGGACGCGTACCGCTGTGGCGCTTGCGCATAGAGCGACACGTGCTTTGCCTGCACAAATTCTTCGACGACAACTCTCGTGCCTGCGTCTTTGGCGCATGCAATCGCAGCCTGGATATGCGCGGGGGAGACAATATTGTCTTGGGGCGAGAACATGAAGAGCTTGGGCACGTGCGCTTGGTCGACCAAGTAGCGCTGCCAGTGCTCCTCGAACGCATCGTCGGAGCGCGAGAGGGTCGGGTACCACTTCATACCAATGAGCATAAGCCGCGTGGCGAGGCGCAGGCGAAGCGTCGGCAGCGCGTCGGTCGCTGGCCACGAAAAGTCGGCGGCGTCCTTGACGTTGGTGCTGGGCGCCGAGTCAAACACCATCGCGGGCACTATGTAGCGCTCGTTGGCGTCGCGGAGAGAGCGCTCGACGGCAAACCACGACCGACACCCGCCGTTCGAGAGCATGTGCGGAATGAGCTCGAGTGTGTCGGTGGGTGACTGCTTGAGCGGTGCCAACACGGTGGCGACGGCGTTGGGGTGCAGGAAGCGCGCCGGCTGGAGAAGGTCGGCGCCGCCGCTGAGCAGCACGACCGCGTCGTAGCCCAGCTGCTTGTAGAGCTCGGCGTACTTGGCGACCGGCCGCGCCTTGGCGTTGAGCCAGCCACAAACGACGACGACGCGCTTCGTGGTCATTTCGCACCTTGCCGATGCGTCAACAGTTTCAACGGACCAATCCGCGCCCGTGGTGTCAAACGGCGTGATATGATTGGTGCATTCGGATCGTACGATCTTCCATCAGTAGACGCTCTGGGCAATATTGCTCTCTCATTCTGGCGTGCAGAGATGCACGAGCATCCACGTAGTATACAAACTCTAACCAGACATGCAGCGCCTTGCCGAGCCTTGGGCGAAGGCAATCCATTTGTACATTTAGCCGAGCCACTCCATCAACTGTCAAGCGAGTGAGCTGTTCCACCGATTCTCACAACCACGTATGTGGTGCCCATCCCGATGCAGAAGCGCGCAGTCACGGGCTGCGTCACGAGCGAGCAGTCGACAAGCATCCAAGTAAGCCCACTATGTAGCAAGCAGTAGCTTTGGCGGTAGAACGTCGACTGCCAAATCAGCGCCAAGCGTTGCTCACGCGACTCTGTTTGGCTCAACTTCTGCACTGTACAGTCTCTGTCAGCGCGTGCTGCTTCCAGCGCCGGCACCTTCCGCCTTGACACCACTGCCGACTCATTCTCGGAGTGAACGAGATGCAGTGAGCGTCTACGGCAGCCTCTCGCTCTTCATATACCCGTTGTTGTCTTCGTACTCGCCCCACCTTTTGCATGCAACAAGTATCTTTTGCTCCAGAGTACAGTGTAATGACATCGGTTCCTCCTGACGGACGAGGACGGCGGCCGTTAAGGTCCCGGAATCGCGTCTACCTCGGATGCAATGCTGCGCGCGCCAGCGATATCGCCCCATATCGAAGGGCTGGGTGTGTCTGCGTCGTTGGCACCAGCTTGATCGCGTATCGCGCGTCGAGTCCGTGAGCTACAGCGCTTGGATTGCTGCCTTCAACTGTTGAAGACCCTGCCCATGGCATTTCGTAGCACAACTCAATTCGCCTCGATCCAAGCATCGCCATGTCTACCAAGAAGCGCCTCGTCGTCGTGGTCTGTGGCTGGATGGGCGGCTCGCGGCGCGCGGTCGACAAGTACGCCGCCGTGTACACGCGGCTCGGCTGCAAGGACGTTGTCGTTGTCCAAAACTCGATGCTTGACTTTTTCAAGGCAGATGTGCACGCTGCGACAGCGGCGCGGCTTCAGCAGCTCGGCGACGACTGCGCGTTCGTGCCGCATCTGCTCTCGAACGGCGGGTGCAAGTCGTGGACGTCCATCGACACGCACATGCGCAACGCCAACCATGCGTTCCACGTGCCGGCCATGGTCTTTGACTCGGCGCCGAGCCGCGGCGAGCAAGCCGCCGTCGACTTTACGTGGCGCGGTGCACGCCACCTCCGGACGTTGCGCGAGCGCCTCGCGGTGCGGCTCTCGCTGAGCGCACTCAAGTGGCTGCCGCCCTTTCGACCGGCGCACGAGCAATTCAAGGACCACTGGCGACTCTGCTTTGATACGTACAAGGCGGTGCCCAAGCTCTTCCTCTACTCGTCACGCGACACGTTTGTGGACCCGGAGAGCATCCGCACCGCGATGGCAACGGCGAACGAGAGCGCTACGATCGTCGACGCAGTCGACTTTGCGACGTCGGGGCACGTGCAACACCTCGCGACCGACCCGACGAGATATGCGCGTGCGCTTCAAGCGTTCTGCGCCAAGGCGCTGTCGCCTTCGACAGCCATCAACGACCACGTCCAGAAGAAGACGAAGGTCGTCATCCAAGCGATCGTGACCACCGACGAAGCTCCGCGCTCCCAGCGCCAGCGCCGCGCGACGGCGGCGTAGCGAGTCGTCGGAGATTGTGGTCATGTTGTCTAAATGCATAAATGCTAGTCGTATCTGCTTGTGCTTTGTGCTTCGCCGCCTGCACTTGATGAGGGGTAGGGTAGGACGCCACGGGATCGAAAGTCCAACCGCCAGCGACAACCTCCGAGCATGTGCAACCGAGTGCTGTACAAAGAAGCAAAACGAACTGGCGCGCGCCGTCGAGCAGCCTTGCCAGACGAGATACCGAAGCCCGAGTCGTTGAGCCGCAAGCGCATCCAGAGACCGCTCGGGAAGCCGCCGCTGACCATAGCCCGAGAGTCGCCAGGGTCGTATAGCAGCTACCGGTGCGACAGCGCAGAAATCGACATCCACCAATGCATAAACTGGTGCAAACAAAGGCTCGCCCAACTGTGCAACCCGACCAGATTGGCGACCAGTTCTGGTCATGCGGTCGTCTGGTGCCAAAGCACGTCGCATCCGCACTCCCGTGGTGGGCCAAGCCACAGGGACGCTGCCACGTCATCTGCATCCATGGTTCCTCGATCTCGTGTCGATACAACCGCTGGCACCACCAAACGAGCCAAAAGTGGATCGGTAGCAGATCCACAAGTCCCACGCCCATCCAGGCGGGTGCATCTCTCGGTGTTAAGAACGGTACAATCGACAGGCGACAGGGTGGCGCCAAGGGAACCGCTCAGGTGTTGAGCTGTCGACTTTTCATTTTCACTTGGCATGGCGCAGGCTCGTTCGACCGACGCCATTGGCGACAAAAACGACGTCCTCGTCCTTGTCTGCAGCTGGATGAACAGCGCGCCGCGTCACGCGGCCAAGTACGCTGCGCTCTACAACGACATCGGGTTTCGCCACACGACGATCGTGCCCAGCAGCGGCCTCGATTTTTTTCTGCCAGCGTCCTCGGTGCACGCCGAGACGGCCGCGCGCCTCTGTGATCCGACCAAAACGCTGCGGCTGCACGTGCACATCATGTCGAACGGCGGTGCGCGGTCCTGGTACTGCCTCGAGACGCATCTCCAGCGCCTCCATCAGCCGTATATCGTCACGTCCTTTGTGTTTGACTCGGCGCCGACCTTGGTTCGCGGCGGCTTTACGGACCCGACCGTGTTTGTACAGCACATTCGGAACCCGTTGGCGCGCGGCGCGCTCTACGGCGTCATGAAGGTCGTGCTCTGGAGCCTCAACGCGCTTCTGTTTGTCCTGCATCGAGACCACGTACTGGCGCTCAACTTCGAGTCGCAGATCGCCAATACAGGGGCGATCCCAAAGCTTTTTTTGTATTCGCGCGCCGACAAGCTCATCCCGCTGGCAGATTTCCAAGACGCAATGCAAGCCGCCAAGGACACTGGAGCGACGGTGCATGGCGTCGACTTTATGACGAGCCCGCATGTTGGCCACTACCAGGCGCACCCCGAGGCCTACCGCGCGGCCCTTGCTTCGTTCTTGTAACGGCGTCGTCGAATACGAGTACAAAATTGTCCTCTGCTTTTTGGATAGCGTTCAGATCCCAGCTAAATTAGCCGTGCCGAGCCTATGAAACCAAAACGTCCTGCGATTGATGATCGATCTATCCATGTATCCATCTCTTGACCCGCCAACGACTGAGCTTCTTCTGCGGCCGCATCGGGAGGCTGAAGCGACACGGCCTCGCTACCTTGCGTTCGAGGCCGTTGTCGCCCCCGAATGTCCTCGATACACATTTTTTCTTCTTCTTCTAGTGTTAGTGGTACGGGGATTTATCTACACGTTAGACCCTAGCCCTATGCGTCGACGGTCGTGTCGTAGTCGTCAAACACGACGCGGCGCGCGCGACGGGTCGGCATCTTCTTGTTTCTGTACGGCGCCTTGTGCGGATGGAGTTGTGATAGCATCGCCTTGAGCTGACGCGCTTCTTCAAACTGCTTGAGCGCTTCGAACGACCGAATCGCTGTCCAGAGCATGAGCGGGCGCGGCGCAAAGCTCACGGCTTGCGTCGACGGGTTGGTGCGGTGGCGCGCTTCCAGCTCTTGGTAGAGTTCGATGACGCGCGGGTGGTTGCCGAGGCGCCCGGCGGCAACCATACCCGCTTCCGTGATGCGGTAGCCGACTTCGTAGTTGGGATTTTCGAGCAGCTTATCGACAAAGACAACGCAGTCCTCGTACCGGTGCAAGTGCAGTAGCCAGTGCGCCGTGTGGTCCATCGCCGGGTACGAGAGCGCCCAGTGGTTATCAAACGCGTCATTGAGGAGCAGCATCACCTGCTTGAACTGGTGCTCGTCCTCGGCCTTCTCGGTCGCGTCCTCGATCGCGGCCTTGTGGCCCCAGATGAGGAGATCGCAGATGCGCTCGGCGTCCCAGCCGCCGAGGACCGCGTCGTATTTGGTAAAGAGGGCGCGTATCTCGCAGATTTGCAAGTTTTTGGTCATGCAGAGTGAAAAGAACTGCTGGCGCCGGAGCGCCTGCAGAAGGCCCACGCCGTGCGTCTGCATCAAGTCGACCATCTCCGTCGCGCCTTTCAAGTCGGCGTCTTCGACATGGCGGTTGAGGAGGTCTTTCAGCAGCCGCGCCTTGAAGTCTGGCTGCGAGTGCGGGAGCGCGAGGAGGTCGCGGAGAATCGACGTCGCGTCCGACTTGTAGTTGAGTTTCCAGAGATTTTGCAAAAGCACTTCGTATTGAAACTCGTGTCGACCGGAGATCGCGCCATACGACTTGTTGGCGTCCCAGACGCGGCGCGCGCGGCCCCACACGGACTTGGCCATTGTCGGACTCTTCTGCGACGCATGCGTGGCCGCCAGAATCAGAATTTGTCCCAAGAGCGACGTCGAGACAGGGTACGACGCCGACGTCGCGGCCTCGGCGAGCTCGAGCGACGTGAGCGGATGGACGGTCGTGTCGCGGAGCGCGGTCGAGAGGATGTGAAAGTACGCGGCACCCTGCGGCGAGAAGCCCGCCGCTTGCATCGCGTTGGCGACAAACTGGGCGCGCGCCCAGTCTTTCGTGTGCCCGCAGGCCGTGAGCACGGCGGTGAAGATCGCCGACGAGAGCGGTAGCCGGAGGTAGTGCCAGTCGGCAAAGGCTGCGACCGTGTGCGCAAACTTCTTTTGCCGGTTGAGCGCGATGACGTAGAGCAGGCGCATCTCGTTGGATACGTCGTGCACCATGGCGGCGTCCATGTACAGCTCGACGACCTGCTCGTACGCAAAGCGAGCTGCGTGCGCCTCCATGGCCCAGCGGTAGCTCTCGATCGACTTGGTGGGCAGCGCCGCAAACAGCGAGAGTGCGTCGTCGTAGCGGTGCGCTTGCACATGCGCGACCATTTGCGCACTAACATCGCCGTCACGAGGCATTGCTACGCCGGCCGGCAGGCGGCGCGGTGCCACGATCAGTTCGAACTCGCTTGGGGCCTTCTTCGCCTTGGCCGGCCTGCTCTTGAGCTGCCGCGGCGATGTCGCATCGTTCGACATGGCCTTCTTCGCCTTGGCTGGCTTGATCTTGAGCTGTCGCAGCGGCGGTGTCGCATCGTCCGACATGCACCGGAGCGCTCCCACGTGGCTCGTCGTCAAGACCGGCGCCCATCGGCGCGGGACCGACACCAAGCTGCGCAGCATGGTTGATGGATTCGGCCTTGTGCACCAATGATATGCTATCCGGATAACCAAGCCGCCCGAGTCTAAATGCACGCGTCCTTAGCTGTCCAGGCGCATCGATGCCAGCGCCATGCACGATTGCACCAAGTGATAAACACAACGATCGAGAGCACCAATACTATCCATCTATCTATCTATCCATCTATCTACATAGCTAGTAGCTATATGTATCCAGCAAGAATCCTTCGACCCATGCTCCTCGAGCGAAAACCGCTACTGCTTGTAAGCCTTCATAGTACAGCGTCCGAGAGACGCGGCAGTTCGGTTATCATAGCAGCCGACTAGTAGAAAGCTAGTAGGAAGCGACTCACTCTAAATTGCGCCGTTGAAAAATGATATGGGAGCACGGTGAGATTTAGTCGACTAGAGGTATCTACTTGGACTGCGTCGCAGGTCGCTGGCGGCAGAGCGCGGCAAGCTCCTTCAAGCGAGCGCTATACGGCACTGCATTCGTTGCTCTGAGCTCGTGGAGAAGGGAGCGTCCGGCGCTGTACTTGCGCAGGCCCACGAGCGCCTCCAGGTGCGCCATGTGAAAGGCCGGGAGCTGTTGCAGACTCTCCTTGTGCTTGGTCGCGAGCATACCAATAACGGTTTCGTACTGCTCGTAGCGCACGAGCTCGGCAAGAAGCGCCGCAATGGCGTCGATCGGCAACTCGAGGAGCGTCTCGGACCAAAGCAGCCAGAACTCGATGGCCGCCGCCGCTTGGCCTTGGGCCACGAGATGCACGAGCACGTCTTGCAGAGGCAGCTCCTGTGTCGGTGACAGTAGCGCCTTGTGGTTCTCGAGATACCACTGCAGCGCCGACGGCAGGTCCTTCGCGTGCTCCCGAAAGTAGCTGCGCGAGAAGACGCGCATCGCTGGCGCCGTTGCGAGCACATCGTTCTCGTGCATCAGCTCCACGAGCGTCTTGGCGCGGGCGACATCGCGCGCCATCGAGAGCCGCAAGAGCACGTCCGAGACGACTCCGAGGTCGTCGTCGTTGGTGGTGGTCTGGAGTACGCTCTGCGCCATCTGCAAGCGCTCCGCCGCTAGAAGATCGATGGGCGAGCAATCATCCACACTGAAAGCGCTCTGAAGAGAAATGGCTGTCGCATGGAGAAAGCGACGGCGCAGCGCTGGGCGGCCAGCCACAAGCCGCAGGCATCGTCCACTCGTTCGCGCCAGCATGCCAAAAAGTCGGTCTGGTGAGCTATCCGGACTGTACGGATACCAGTACCATCGACGGAAAATGTGTCAACGCGATCTTATTGGGAAATGCAAGTGCAATGCGCGGTGTCTGCTGCTACTCGTCGGACGAGGAGGCGTCGTCGTGGGACATGGCGAGGCCGTGGTCTTGGTGCAAGATCCTATGCAGAGAGCTCAGTATCCTGCGCGGACTGGCGCAAGAAACACCGACTCGTGCAGCCGCGTCCACTGGGTCGCCATGGCGTCGGGCAAAGGCGGCGCGCTCTTGGTATCCAGGATCGTCGCCATCGATCGCTACGCAGATGGCATGCATGAAAAGCGATGCGACAAGCGATGTGACGTACATGCTGCATGATGTAGTGGGCGCCAAGTGCGTTGACGGCCTTGGTCGAAACGAGGAACCGCTCAAAGCCCGACTCGTCCTGGTCCAGCGATAGCATCGTCTTCAAGATACAAAGTCACACCATACCCTTTTCCAGAGCTTCGTACCGGCTGGCGATCCGACGCGGCAATCGCAGTCGACACAAAGTGCAGCGTGTCCTCGGGGCAGTGACTGTACATGGGATACGGTCTTTCTTTTTGCACAAGTCCGTCGTACCTCATCAGAGTGATGACATTGGCCGTGAACTGACTCGTCGAGGCCGTGAACGCTTGGACATGGGCTTCAACCACTTGTTTCTCAGAGGTCGAACAGTCGGAGAGCGAGTGCAGCTCTGTCAGCGAGCAAAAGTCATTCAGGGTGCAGCAAGCCAGCAACGAGAAGTGCGTACCCAGCACGACCCAGATCTAGTACAGAGGCCTGTGGCTACATGTTTGGGCGATAATCTATCGCTATATACCTTGGTGAAGACGGTCTGGTGCTCTGCGAGTTTGTAGGCGTACATCTGCGCTAACCCGTCGTCTGCAACGCAACACGTTAGCTATCGGAAAAAGAGCTGCGAACAACCAACATACCCAGAAAGATGGCAAGCGGCGCTACACAAAGCCCCGTGCTGGTATCCAATACGAGGCCCAACGGGCTGTCGAGGGGTCGGGGAACCAATTGTCTGCCTTGGGCCGAGACGTGCTCCTATCCAAGCCTCAGTCATTGCTTCGACATGGCGTTGTACTCGGTATGGAAAATCCTCGGCGCACAGGAGCACAATCGGCTGTTCGCGCACGGGCGACCCGCAGCGCTCACGTTCGTTCTTCTCGGGTGTGAAATCGTTTGAGATTTCCTACACTTGTTTGACGAAAAACTGCGGGTTTATGGAGAGAATTTACCGGGGAAGGCGCCACAAGCTGCAGCATCGAGTGTAGCGTCGACATGTGGGACTTTCGGAGCGTCTTTTGGTATACTTCGCTGGAGAGGCAAGCTTCCAAGAGCATGACCCCGCCCGAGACGCCGTGCTCTTGCAAAACGTGCCACAAAAGCCTACGGCAGAGTCGATTTCAATTCCCAATAGCATTTCTCGTACCGGAGGGTGTGCAGGTAAATCAACTCGCCAAGGTTGTGACACCGCTCCATGATGTCGGGGCTTCGGCGCGCTCCAAGAACGTCCACCTTGGCCAATTCCTATGGTAGTTATAAATTATAGACGCAGTTTTGAAGCACAGGCCCGCCTGTTGCTGGGTGAGAACCATCGCCTCGAGCGTGGACAAGGCGAGGTGCTCCAAGGCCGACTTGGTCTTTGTTTCTTGGTACCGAAACTGACCGCACTTGACAAGCTTCCAGATGACGGGTCGAGCCGCGTGCAGCACAAACGTTTGGAGCGATGTGAGCAGTTCTTCGCTGCTCGACGGTGAGGAATCATCACTGACGCCTTGTTCGTCATCGCCCAAGTTCACGAGGCCGATCGTTGTCTCATGCTCGTCCTGCAGCTTGTACGCGATGGCTTTGCTGCTCTTCGGACGCTTCGCCGCTCGGGAGTAATCACCGCGGTCGTCTGTCTGCGATCGTTTCAACGTGCTGGCAATGTGCTCGTCCGTTGCGCTTATCGTCGGCGCATCCAGCTCTTCTGTGAACTCGTGTGCGTCCTACAAGTCCTCATCAGCATCAAAGCCCATGGACGTGAAGTTCGTACGGAAAAGAGTCGTTCGTTGAAGTAACATGGCACCTTGGACCAGACCATGGGCAATTCCATGGCAACGATGGTCGGGCAAATGATGACATCAGTTGGCGTCATGGCTTGATGCAGCATCGCCCTTGCTTGGAGGGCCTCTGACGGAACCATCAAAGTCGCTTTGAGGCGTGGCACTTCCAGTTGCTGGACGACCACCGTGTCGGACTTGGTCGCCGAGGCTTCCGGCGCAATATCGCACCAATGATTCTTCAAGTGCGCTGGCCATGCATCTTCGACGAATACGATCTTATACATAGCCGTAAAAGACAGGATAGTAGCGTACCAAAGAGGCTTGGCGGGTGGGCAGACACGTGGAACTGATCGCAGTCAAGAATGGCCTTGCGATAGTGCGCATCGGCTCTGCTTGCCGCGGGTGCCGAGCCAATGATGCTATACATGGCCAGCGGATCGTCGGCCGACTGAAATCGTAGAGCGTCGTCATCCTCGGAAGCACCGTCGGGCCCTCCTGGTGCTACATCAAGGCCGTCGACAGCGGGATTTGGTCGTCGCTCGACCGGGACCGTATGCAGCGCGTCGACCATAGCATTGAGGCTTTGGGGCACCATGTCCAGGAGGCACGGAATCGATAGCTTGGAGTTGGACATGCGAGAGGTGTAGATGTTGCGGATGATCTCGAGCGGATACGCTTCCTCGCACAATATGGCGTTGTCCGATGCAAGCGCAAGCGGTTCGTCCAAGCTGCAGATCTCAATGACGTCGTCGTCGTCATTGGACTCTACAAGCTACACCATGAGGCCACGCGCTAGAGAGAAGCTGGTACGCGGAAAGGCGTCGAGCTCGGAGGTCGAAGGCGTGGTGCAGACGACGTGCTGCGAGGTATCGACCAAGGCGCTCCAGCAGCACGCATCCTCATGCCACGCGCTAACGTCGTGGAAATACATTAGCCCGACCTTTCACATGAAGTAGCGTGGTACAAGTCAATGTCGCCAAGACCATTTGCGACTGCATAGGCCAGGATGTCGCCGTCTCTTGATGGTGTGCATGGTTTGGCGCCGTCCATGGGGGAAGCCCATCGTAATTCGATCTCTTCGAGGGGGTCTTCATCATCTTGTGCTTCTAGAGTCCAATATGCATCGCTTCTCGGTCTGAATCTCGCAATACCGCTTCCGTCAAGCTCTTCGTTGCCACTGCGCTGGAGTGGTATGCACAGGGCCTCAACAGGCCGCTGCATCGTGTCTTCATGCGTTGGGAAGCGCTGATCCGTCGTCTCGAAGAGCCATGGAGCTCTCGTAGAGCTCGCCGGACGGTCAGCGACAAGCGCTCGCCACAGTTCGTCCAAGGCTGCGTGATGATCGTCTTCCTTGCTGGTGTAGTCGACGTCGAACGGCGTCTCTTCCCGGAGCTTCATGCTCTCGATCGTCGCCAAGCGCTTCTTCCGCGCAGCTAGCGCTTCCTCTTCGTACCCTTCAAGAAGCATCATGTTAGCTTCTTCCTCGGCTCCATGAGACGCAGGGGGAGCTACGCCGGAAGGCTGCGCGGTCCGTCGGGAAGAACATGCTGCTCCCGCTGGGATCTTGTCTTGTGATTACAATGGCCTATCAGCGCGCTTCTCGCCTTAAAATGCCCAAAATGCAGCCAATCCTGCCTCCCATTCGACTTATTTTAACCAATCCAATTGATCTAAACTCAGATCTTTCATTTTGTCCTATCCTGTCGCAGCGTTCCCAAATTCAACAAGGGGTCCAATCAAATGCCATTACCAGCTCCATTTCAGCCAATGCGTGCACACCCCTCAAGATGGACATCGCGTCATGCGAAAAAAGGAGTCTGGCCAATCCAAGGGCTGGAACGACAGATTTAATGAAAATAGCCAATCGTATCGCGTGTAGAAGCATCCTTTTTGTCCAATGCAACGCCCACTTGCACATATCGTGATCTTCGCCATCCCAACCGCATGAAGCTGGACGTCTTCCGCCACCTCTGGGGCATCAACCCCTCCAAGGATGTCAAGACGAACCTTCGCGTTGTTCAAGTGCTCAAGGAGCTCGGCTACTCAGGGGTCGAGGCCAGCCTTAGCGCGATCCAGGCGCACGGCGGCCCCGCTTTTCTCGACGAGCTGGCAGCGCACGACATGAAGCTCATCGTTGGCATCTACTCGGGCTGGACGGACTACGAGCCGGCTGCATGGGAGGACAAGAGCGTCAAGGCGCACCTCCAGCAGTTTGAGGACGAGATCAAACAAGCCCATGCGCTCAGCCTCCGCCCAGTCCTCCTTAACGCCCACGCCGGCGCAGACCACTGGAACGACGCCACGTGCCACGAGTTCTTTACGGCCGCGCGGAGCATTGCTCATGACATTCCGATCGCGCACGAGACGCACCGCGGTCGTATTCTCTGGAACCCGTGGCGCACGCTCGATATGCTGCGCGCGTACCCGGAGCTGCGGCTCACCATGGACTTTTCGCACTGGGTCCTCGGGGCCGAGCGCCTCCTCGACTCGCGCTGGGACGCTGCGTGGCTCGAGACCGTCTTGCCACACGTCGCCCACATCCACGGGCGTATTGGGTCGGACGAAGCGCCGCAGGTGACGGACCCGACCGACCCACATGTCGCGGAGAGCGTCGAGCGCTTTGACCGACTCTTTGCGAATATCTGGACGTGCCAGGCCAAGGCCGGCATCCCCATCTCAACGTTTACACCCGAATATGGGCCGTCGCCGTACACTCCCATGGCGCCGTTCACAGGGGCACCGCTGAGCAACGTCTGGGAGGTATGCAACCGCGAGACGAAGCGCCAGCAAGCTCGGTTCGAGGCGACGATGACAGCCTTGTAGCCCACCGTATTGTCAAAAGTTCTACGATGAGTACGCTGCTCGTACAGTGGGGTACCAAGTGCCTGAGGATTAAAATATACAACGTTTGCACCTACGGTGCCGGCTCGGCAGGCGTCGCAGCGACCGTCGGTGTCGGCGGCTCTTGCGTCGCGACCTTTTGCTTCTTCTTGCCTTCAGCAGACGCAGTGCCTTGGCGCTTCTTGGGCTCGTCTGCCCCTTCCGGCCGAATGTGGATGTAGCGCAGCTCTATGGCCATGGTTGGAGTCCACCGGACGACATGGCAGCCTGTACAGTACCTCCGGCGGGTGAAACGCTCACACGCTTGAAGCACGAGTTGGGGCACTCAAAGTAGGACCTACGCTTCGTTAGCCACGGCTGCAAGAGAAATGGCTACGTACTTGACAAGCGTCGTCAAGTTTTGCCGTCCGCCGACCTCGTAATCTATGTCCTTGAAGCTACAGGATATGGTATCGTCCGCAAGAATTCAGTAGCTTAGATAGGTACCAGTTGTAGACGGCGTCGACCGCTTCATCAACGCTCAAACCCGCCGTCTTGGACGGGTTCGCCTTCTCAAAGGCCTATGCTTGCAACGATAGCATCAATGGCACTTCACCGACGTACCTTCTGAATGAGCTTGAGACCTGACATGATTGTCGTCGAGGGCTTGACCGCGGGCAAAAAGTAGATGCGAGCGCCACCAATGCGCAATGGCATCTTGGGCGTGAGCACGACGACCTCCTTTTGCTCGATTCGCTTGCCTATGCTGGACGATGAAGTTTCGCCGAGATGCTCACGCTGTACCGCCAGCGTGCATGCCATTCTTTCCCAAGCACGTAAGCTCAAAGCAACTGCGCTCCGCGTTCCAGTCGATTGACGCATGTTGGCGAGACACGGACATGAGGTCACCAAGGCCAATGCGCCCCGCGGCCTGGCCCGCCTGCGCGCCACGGCCAAACTCGACGGGCAGCTGCGTGATGAAGGCCTCGAACGACTGTTCCTCGTTGATCATACCCTGGAGCTTGGCGTAGGCCAACGGTGGGCGGGCCGCAAGGAAGTCCTTCTCGATCCGCTTCTCGTCCATCGTTAATTGGAATTTTACACAATATAGTGTCATCGTGTTGAAATAGTGTTGCATACGAAGTAGTCAAATAGTGTCAATCTCAGTGGCTTGCAAAGCTTGTGGCATCGCCTGCTCACCTCGAGAGGCGCAGTGCAACCACAATGCTGCATCGTATCGTCACGGCGCGCGCTTGATTCTATCGATACCTCAGATACCGATTTGCTTCAGAGCTTAATTTAGCCACCTGCAGCAACCGCACCGTCAACGTCAACCACATTGCGATTTTCGTGCAGCATGCAACCATGGTCTTGCCTCGCCTTGGCGTGGGGTGCAGCCTCTCAATTCACAGGTCTTGTTATGGCCGAGGAGGTATTTAGCCTCAGTGGAAGCAGCTCGGGCTTTGGCAGTACGGTCCAACGCTCTGAGTCCATCCCGCTTCACAGAACTCTATAGGTGGTGTTGGCACAGCGACACCCGCAGCAACGACAACGCTCGCGCTGGGTACTATGAGAAAGCCTGAACGACTGTGGTCTCTGATCTTTTTGCACTGTAGGTACTACGCCACACTGTACGCTGAGGCTCACCTTCGTGCCACCATCGGTAGAAACTACAGCGTCCCTCCAAGGATCCTCACGTAAGCTGCTGCTCGTGGCTCATGTTATCATGGCTTGCTAGCAGCTGCCGACAATAGCACGACGCCAATGACCAATACGACCTCCCGTACGAACGTCAGCACAGGAATGATCTGACGATGATCTCGGTAGCCTGGCCAACACGTGTACACAGCGCAGCGACTCGGAAGCTGACAAGCCCATTGTAGCAACCGAGCTTCCAACCATCTCGATACCAACTACTCCTGCGACGTCCGCGCCGGGTTCCATGCATCCCTCGCCGGTCCCAGGCGCTACCCAGTTGACCGAGTTGCCATCACCGCTTCCAAGCACGACAAGTACAAACTGCAACAAGTCAGCGTCAGTCTTCATATTGCGTGCCTTGTAGACTGGACTCCCGCACCCGCACCCATGGCACCGAGTCCCACGTCGCCACGTAAGCTCGGCATGTTCCACCTCCACAACACGGCCGCGTCTACCGTAGCGGCGGCGTTGGCGGTCACGACGGTGCCCAAGACGACCCCGAGCCACGACCCACCGCTACCGATTGGCGCCATGATCGGCATCGCCGTCGGTGTCCTCTTCGGCACGGCCGGTGCGATCGTTGCCGTGCGCTATGGCATCATGTACCTCGAGTACCGTCGGTACTTGGCGTCGAATGAGATGGACGAGCGACTGGAACCTTTGCTGGAGAGCGAGGACCATGCCATTATGGTGTACAAGGTAGACACAACGTAAATGGTACAAGTGATATAGCCTATCTGAATATCGCGTTTGGCTGTTGAGTTGTCTTCCATTAATTTGCCTTTAAGAAGACTACATCGTCGGAGATTTCGCTCGGTAGACGTGGTTGGTAGAGGTCGCTTACAAGCGGCCACCCGTGCCGGCCATCGACTGGACGAGGAGGTCCTCGTCGCGGACGACCTTGGCGCCCTTCTCCTCGGCACCTTCCTCATGGAGTTCCATAAGCTTGGTGACGTCGAACTTGGGCTTCTTCAAGACCTTCATCTTGCGGACGAAGCAGTTCTGGAGCGGGAAGATGCCCTGGCACGCCTTCTCGACTTCCTTGCCGATGATCTCGGGGATGAACTTGAGGTAGAGGTCCTTCAAGTCGCACTTGCTGGCCTGCTCCGTCATGATCGTCGTCATCTTCTTGCGGATGGCGCGGATCTGGGCGGTCTGGGCGTAGCACGTCTTCTTGATCTGGTTGGGGCGCTTCTTGGTGAACGCGATGCAGAAGAGGCGGATGGTGTAGCCATCGGTCGTCTTGACATCGACGAACGCCTCGATGAGCGTCTGCCACTTCTTGATGAGCGAGCAGATTTTGTCGCGCGTGAAGTCCATGCCGTGGAAGCCCGTGACCACTTGCGTGCCCTGGACGTCCTCGCAGCAGAGACGGATCTTGCGGAAGCTCTGGTCCTCGTCCTTGTTGAGGTCCGCGAGGCAGACTTCAAAGACGCGGCCCTTGAGGCCCTCCGAGGCGATCTTCGTGCCCGACGTGCGGTTCACGAGCGTCTTGCCGATCGTGCGCTGCTGGAAGATGCCCGGGACGCGGATGTCGTACCAGTCCTTGCGGGTGAAGGGGTCGACGGCCTTCTTCTTGCCACCCTTCTTACCCTTGGTCAATCTCTTGTTCTTGCCTACTCATGCGCATGAGCTCGTCATCCTCATGGAGGCGCCGTCGTCCTCGGCCGAGGATCGACGCTGCTTGTTGTACTTACCCACAGCCATGATGCGATATGATTCAAACTTTCAAAGGCGAAATGAACACGCGACCCGATGGTTGGTCCAAAACCCCCTTATTCATCACTGGTTCTCACGCTGGGTTCATACCTCCCAGGTGTTCATTGCAGAGAGGGAAAGCGATGAAATTCGCTTTATTATTATGCACCCTCTGACGTGCCCACTGCATACAAACCCAAGACAATACCGTATTCTAGACACGTGTGAAACAACCTATTTTATTACAACGCGCACCTGCCCACCTTTGGGCACGGCCAATCAAAAACACTGGTGGTGTACGGATAAAATGGCGGCCAAGCCGGATAAACGCAATAGGATGATGATGGCCGCGGTGCGGCGCCGGCCACGGTGCCCAGCGAGAGGAGACCCTGGCGACGACGTCGACATGGCGGCTGTTGCCGCAACCACAAGCCATGGATTCAATGCGCAAGGCCATAAGCGCTGCCAACATCCAGCAAGCGAGAGGCAACGACGCAGTAGATGCGCCGGAGGTGACGGCGATCAAGATGCGCAACATGCATCGCGCGCATGAACAGCGCTGTCTGGCGACTTGGTAGCTTGCTCAGTGCGTGGAGCAGTGTCAGCTAGGCTCACGAGATGCGACGACACGATACTGCGTCATCACTGTCGACTTCTATACTGTGGCGATGCTGAAGGAGATGCGAGATGCGAGTTGGCTATGGCCCATAGAGACGAGCCGCATTGCTCGAACGAAAGACGTAGATGTGGCGACTAGCGTGCTGTGATGCAGGCAGCTGGAAGAGGAGCGTAAACGGCGGTCTGGCGAGGAATGACGAGAACGGCCAAGGCGTGGTTGTGCGTCGTACTTGTGCTGACTTGGTTATGTTTGCAGCAACATTGGCCACTATAGACTCACATCGCTACAGTGTATGAGTTGTGCTGGTGTAGCAGAGTAGAGACGAGCTCCCATTTCCTTGTGTCCCAGCAAGAAGAGTACAAGTGCACGAAAAGCCTCGAGTTTCCAGGATTCGAGGACCGACGACATCCAACTGGACGTCTATGTGCACGAGTTTGATTGCGTAAGTCATCGAGATCGCCGTCGACACGAGCGCAACGGATGAGCGCGAAGTGCAAAGTGGTGGCGACAAGAGCTGTCGCTACTCATCCGAGTCGCGGAGCAACGGGTGTTTTCCTCTCGCCACATCGAGCTGGTTCCCTCTTGAGTACATGCCCACGTGCCACCGCACCTCGACTCGACGTTTTGTGCTTCTAGCACCACCAACGGGTGCAGGTGCCTGTCGCGCACGGCAAGAAGACGATATAGAATAGGATATAGAAGGGGATCCTTCGGATGGAATCAGCAGAACCTTTTCATTCCACGATTTAGCGGTTTCTACGAAGAATGGAACCAACCTTTTGATGTTGTTCTTGAATACGCCGACCTGTCAGAAGTCAGCTCGAGTGACGGGCAACGACGGCAACTGGCAACTGTTGGCATGCAACTCGAAACCAAAGTACGACGCCCATTCGTGCTGGTCCATGCGCTTGGTATCTCTCAACTCTCAACATCGCACTTGCGTATTCGCCATTACTTGCCCTTTGGCCATCGATTGCGAGCGATAGAACAGAGGTGCCTTTGCGTTTGGCGGTTGGTGCACTAGACAAGGAGTGTTTATCCTGCGGTCGATCTCGTGTCGTTTAGCTCATACAGTATGGTTCCTCTTGCTTCTTGTGCGACCAACGTTTTTACGACAGCTTCGCGCGCCACGAGATGCCAAAGCTGCGGGCTGCTGTTGTGGCCATCTTCGTGCATTGAGCATCCAGCCGGCCCGCGGTGTTGATTTAGGAATGTGGCAAATATACGTCGTGGCTACGTATGTTGTCGTGGCGAGTCTTACATGTGCGGTGTCCAGGTCGCCCATTTTCCCAGCAAAGAGTCGAGGAGGTGGGAGAAGTGGCGGGAAAACCTCGCAGCAGTCGCTCTCTGCACGATTGGATTTGGCGCCGTCATAATTTGAAATCCATTGACCAATGAGATGGCTAATTTTAAATATTTCAGCCAATCACAAAACGACGCGCCAATTGGCTTGTGGGTCGAACCTCCGTGTCGTCCATCGGCTCACGATATACACGTACTAAGCTCCCAATGGTAGTGAGCTACGCAGCATTTCAGTGAAGACTGTCAATTCAGCCCCGCCAGTTTGCCGCGATCGCTACGTGGCGGGTCCCGTGCACTCGGTTGCGGTCACTCTATAGACTGTTTCGGTGTGGCGATTTCGGAGGCAGGACCACGGCGCTGTACGAGCGTTCGTAGCTCTCGAGAGTTCGAGGTAGCTTAGATCGCAACCGTTGCTAGGCTTTATCTCCGAGCCCAAGACCCCGACAATGGCTACGCTCAACGATTCAGCCACCACGTTCAGCCGACGATGAAGATATCTGCCGAAGACGTCGACGGATGCCGTGTTATAACCCAACAACGGCCCTTTAAGAAGCACCGAGTCTTCATCGCACTCCTTGCTCGGGCAATAATCTAGAGCTCAATCTAGTGCATACACTAAGACTATAGTCTGCATGCTAACAGCAGCACCGGGAGAGACGAGCAACGGGCTGCACTTGGTCTTGTAGACGACTGCATCTGAAAAACATAACATTTCTTGGCGGCTAATTCGCACGAACTAACGAGTTGGCCTTTCGTAAGCCGCCGCAGTGTATACTATAGTCATGTCCATCTCAACAGTCGACTGAGCAAAGAAGAGCAAACGAAGGGATTCCCGTTGCTCAATTGCCTGGAGAAACAAATGACTCGTTTCGTCGAGTGGAATCGTCGATGCATGCCGGAGCACGAAACATTAGCTGGTCGTCACCGTCAAAATCACCCCAAGGAGCCTCTGCTCTTGGACCACAGAAAGCATCCTCAATCATCGAAATTGGCAAGCCTGCAACTTCAAGTTGCGTACTTCTAGTCCACTGGCGCCGGGTTACCAGCTCATCGGCGCCACCGACTTGGCGGCTGTAGCTAGTAGGCAATTGATCCTTGGTTAGGCCAAGTATTTTTGTTCCCTTGGGTTAGGACGACGTGCCAATCAAGCAAAAGTCTACCGATCGCGGCGTCTGCACTCGGGGCTCAATCACGGTGCCAGTAGCCGCTGTCAGGGCAGTCCAGAGCGCCACCGTGCAGCGAATGAGGCGTGGGCAGTGGAGGCAGCCGCGTTCGGTCGGCCCAACGAGCGCGTGCAAGAACACCCAGAAGAACACCCCCCAATGACACCATCTGTCGCTGTAGCCAACAGTGTTTGTATACACTGTACCGATCCTGTGGCGTGCACTCAGACGCATCGGGAAGCACTGCAGTATCAATAGCAGACTCGCAAACATACTGAGATGAATGCATCGACACCCTCGGTCTTTTTTACGCTTGCGTGAGGGCCTGAGACGCTACCATAGGTATAATAGCGATGTCGCCAAGCCATCCAGTGTACGGCGGCCCATACACTGTACGCTGGCCAGACCAGGATTCCCTGACCAGCTGGTGCCGATCGTGCGCTGGCAAATGATCGCAAACGGGATCGATCGACGATCGTCAGTGGCTTGCTCACTTGAGCTTACGCCACGAAGGACGCAGAAGGATGAAGTTTGTCGTCACGTGCGAGTGGTGCAACGAAGAGAACGAGCTCAAGGCCTCGCTCTGTGCGCACTGCGGTGAAGAGATGCCGTCGGCAGAAGAGCGACTCGACCAGCTCCACATGTCTGCCGCGGACGCCGCCGCCATCACGAAGCTCCACGACGACAACGCAGCGCTTGCGGCAGAAGTCGCTAAGCTCGAGGGGGAGATCGCTGCGTTGAAACGAGTGTCAGACATTGGCGGTGGCGCGTTGAACGACCCCGGTTTCAAAGCCGCGCACCAGCAACTCGAAGCCAAGTACGAAAAGCTGTTCAACGAGCTCGAAGAAGAGCGGAAGAAGCTCGAGCAAGACCGGGCGAACGTGCTCACTCTCCAGTCGACGCCGTACCTTGATGCCAACGCGGTCGACATCGTGGACGAACAGCCGTTGTGGCGTGGCGAGCTCTTCATCTTGCACAAGGTCACCCTCAAGAACCGTGTCAACGGCAAGGTCGTGACGTTGGTGCGCAAGAGCCTTGACCCGTCCGTCGTCGAGGTCCTTCGCCGCAAAGGCGAGCTCGAAAATACGCTCGAGAAGGTCAAGCGCTCGTTTGCGATTTTGCGCCGGTGCGTCCATCGTTTGATCTCGTATATGGCCGCTAAGATCGTATCGTAGGCTGGACGGTGGGCGCGACTCGCTCATCAAGGTCGTCGGCGCTTCGGGGCTCGACTACACGAGCGAGAACCCCGTGATTTACATGCCGTACATGCCTCGTGGCAGCCTCCGCCATCTGTTGGAGAAGACGCCTGCCGTGGATGCCATGCCGTGGCCGACGCGCCTCGACGTGGCGTTCACGATCGCCCGCGGCCTCTACGAGCTCCACGCGATCGACCGCATCCACCGCGACGTCAACACGTTCCACGTGCTCGTGCATGACCTCCACCGCGTCGTGCTCACGGGCTTTAGCCACGTGCGCCAGCCGTCGCTCGGTACCATGACGGGCAACGTTGGCGACGTGCGCTGGGCCGCCCCAGAGACGATGCAGAGAGAGCACGCCCGCTACTCGGAGAAGGCCGACATCTTCTCGTTCGGGAAGGTCCTCGAGGAGCTGGCGACGCACGCGCTTCCGTACTCGTCCTTTCTCCATGGCGACAAGGTCATCTCGGAGCACTCGCTGGAGCAGCGTCTCGCCAACGTCACGCTCGACGACCCGATCTTGCAGCACAACCTCGACCCCTCGACGCCGGCGTACTACGCGGCGATCGTCCAGCAGTGCCTCGCGCTCGAGCCGTCGTCACGCCCGACGATCCTCACCATTCTCGACGCGCTGCGCCGCGAAGTCGAACAGTACCTCTTCCCGATGCAGCCGCCGGTGACCGAGCCGATGCACGTCCAGGTCGAGGTGCAGCGAGCCAAGGGCCTCCGCGGGACAGGTACGCGCCACATGGAGGTGCAGTGCCACGTGAGCCTCGGTCGCGATCAATCACGCACGGAATTCTCCGAGGAGCGCGGGAGCAGCCCGACGTGGCACCACCTCATGGACTTCCGACCGCAAGAGCCAGAAGTCATGACGCTCGAGGCGCGCGTGTACCAACGACTGGACAACCAGATCGATCAAATCGGTATCTGCACCGTGCCCCTCCAGACGCATCTGCCACACGGAGACGAGCTGACCGACGACGACTGGGTCGTCGAGCTCGAAGCGCCGTTGTTCAAGAACGGTGCTCGCCGTGGCGAGCTCTTCCTCAAGGTGACGTTCGCGGGCGAGGGTCGACTCCGGTGGCGCAACCAGTACTTTGACCGCGTTAAGTACATTGACAACTCGATCAAGAACGAACGCGATCCGGTGCGTGCGGCCCAAGCAATGGTCATCCGCGAAATGTACGCGTCATTGCCTTCCAACAGTCGAGACGAGTAGCTCTAGACACTTCAACTAGTAGTCGTATATAGTAATAGTACCTGTACAGACTTGTTGGCATCGGCGCGTAGTAGCCGCGTGGCAACTGATAGCAAAGCTCGTGCAAGGTGCGTTCGAATTTTACGCCACGGTGATTGGCGGGATCTCCAAAAGATACCGCTTCTGATTGGTGGTTCGATAAAAAGGCCCGACGTCGCGTTGCCGTCGACGCTGCATGAGCCTTGGACGACGGTGCTCATGAGTCATGAGCACCGTCGTCCAAGACCGTGCCACTCTTGGAAGATCGACACAGCCGAGACCCGGCCCGATCCACGGATCAAGGACGTCCAGCGATAGTACGTTCGCCTTGGCACCCATTGCGGTAGCCCACAACTTCGTACGTTCGATCCCGTCGTCTTGCCAGCTCCTTGAGCTTGATGCGCATCACGGTGGCCTCCAGCACCGCGACCAGTGGTCGTAGCACGACGAGTCGGACTCGGAGGCGGCGTCATGCAGAGAAGAACGCTACTGCAGAAAAGTAGCCATGAGGGTGGTTCAAGGAAGGAGACTGCAACCCTTGGTCCTGGCGTGCGATGGCATCTCGCCCGTGAGCGTCGCTGGAAGCAGTCACTTTCAAAGGCGCACCACCGACCACGAGACGACTACGATGGACACGTCGCTTATGTGTGAGGTCTGCAACGTCCCGAACGACATCATGTCGCCATGCTGCAAGCGCTGCAAGCAGCCGGTCCGGTCCGACTCGGAGAAGCTCCTCATCCTCCTCAAGCGCTTCGACCGCTTCTCGACGCTTCAGGCGTCGCCCGAGCCGCCGGCCAAGATCGAAGCCGAGCTCGACGCGACCAAGGCGTCACTGAGCTCTGTCGCGGCCGAGCGCGACCAGCTCCAGCGCGAGAACTACGAGCTCACGCGGCGCCTCCAGCAGCTCTCGTCCTTTGACAAGGAGCCCGAGTACGAGGACAAGATCCATGCGCTCGAGAGCCAGCTCCAGGAGCTCCAGTCGTCGCAGCAGTCGTTCGCAGCCAACTTGCATATGCTCACGTTCATTCCCGCGGCGCACTTTAAGCTCCAGCGGTCGATCCCAACATCGTCGTCCAGCGTCTTCCAGCTCGACGTCGGCACGATCGACGGCAAGCCCGTCGTGCGCAAGCAGCTCTTCCGCACCGACCCACGTGACGCGGTCGTCGTCACGTTCAAAGAGTCGATCGCGCTGCTCGCCAAGTACGCTTGACACCTTGATACCTTGAAATTCCATTTGTCTCATTCAAGTTCTTTAGGCTCGGCGGCGCCGACGGCACGGTCGTGTCGCTTCTCGGCACGTCGGGGCTCGCGCAAGGCCACACGCAGGTGTACCTCGAGTACCTCGAGCTTGGGGACCTTCACAGTGTCCTCCGCGCGGGCACGTCGCTCTCCTGGGCGACGCGCCTCCGCATCGCACTGCATGTGGCGCGCGCTGTGAGCCAACTGCACGGACTCGACCTTGTGCACAAGCGCATCCACTCGTCGCACGTGCTCCTCGGCGCGGGCTACGAGGCCAAGCTCTCGGGGTGGACCCAAGCGCGCGCGACAACGCTCTTGGACGAGCAGACCGACCTGCGCTGGGCCGCGCCCGAGCTCTTCTCCGACAGGACGCTTCCGACCGCCAAGGCTGACATGTACTCGCTCGGGCTGCTTCTGGTCGAGCTCGACACGGCCGAGACGCCGTACGCCCACGTGCGCGACCGGCGCGGCAAGCCCGTCGGCGATCTCACGCTCATCGACCTCCTCCGACGGGCGACGCCATCGGACCTTGTGCTCCAGCACGCGTTCCGGGACAGCCCCGATTGGTACCGGTCGCTCGCAACCCGGTGCACGGACCTCGACCCGCGCCGCCGACCGTCTGCGATCGAGGTCGTCCGGCTCCTCGAAGGCCGCCTCTTCCCCGAGCTCCACACAACGAGTGCGCTCCCGCCTCTAGTGCTGTGTGTGACGGTGCAAAGCGCGTCGTCGCTCTTGCACGTGGCCGACATGGGCGACGCACCACCGTTCGTGTCGGTCCACCTCCACGATGCAACCGCGACGACGACCGTGTCGCTTGGCGGTGACTACGCGTGGGACGAGACCTTTGAGTTTAGCGCACTGCATCTCATGGAGTCGACGCTCGAAGCGCAGATTCGGTATGGACCGAATGGGCAGATTGGCGTCGTGCACGTCGCGCTGGCCAAGGTCATGGACGAGCTTGACGAGCTCCAGGCGTGGACGCGCTGGCTGCCCGTGCAGAGCCGCGGCGACCCGCACGGCTACCTCGTGCTCAAGCTCGAGCTCAAAGGCGACGTCGAGGGCTGGATCGGGGCGTATGTGCAGTCGCTGCCGCGGCTCCAAGACGCCAAAGAGCCCGCGCTGCAAGCCAAGATCTCGCGCGCGACGACCGTGTACCAGACACTCAAGGCCCGTCGCAGCATCGTGCGGCAAGGCGGGTCCCGGCTGCGGCCATAGAAGATGCAAGCGGAGGTACTTGCCAAAGGACCAGCACGCGCGACCGAGAGTAGAGTGCTATGCTGTACTAGTACCTATGCGCGAGAGAGCTAGTGATTGAAGTACTCAACGAGGGCTTGTCAATGGATCGCGCTCGAGGACGCACGCCAGTTGTGGCGACCACACCGCTGTCGACCGAGTGACTCACTCATCAACGGTGTTGACCCTGCCGGCCCTGCTGCCCGTGTTCACTCATGATGCATCTCTCTGGACGCAGCCTCGTGTCTTTGCCCCGGTACACTGTAGTACACGGTACCATGATTGTCGACCCACTTTCTCACCGGCGTGGACGCCGACGCATCGAGGCTGGCATCGAGGCTGGTGTCGCAGCGTTGGGCGCACGAGAGTGGGTTCTCCGCACCCACTCTCGTGCTCTCCTCTGAGCGACTGAGTACTGAGTGGGGTTGTTGATTGCACTCTCCTCGTATCTACACTGTAGATTGGCTTCAAGAAACAGTGTCGTCGTCAGTACAAATTCACCGCTGCGATGGACACGTCGATCCCGTGCGTCGTCTGCAACAAGCCCAACGTCGTGACCGAGAACGCGTGCACGACCTGCGGCAAGTCGCTCGGGTCGGACGCCGACCGCCTCGACGTGCTCGTGCGCCGGCTACAGCTGTGGCAAGGCGACCCGAACGCCGAGCTGCTCGCTGCGCGCGCGCAGATCGTTGCGCTCCAGGCCCAGGTCGACGAACAGGCAAGCCGCCTCTTGGCGCTGCAAGCCAAGCTCCAAGCCGACGCGTCCGGTGTCGGGAAGGACATGGAGCTCAAGCATCTGCGCGAGCGGCTCCAAGAGATCGAGGAGCGGCAGCATCTGAGTGCAAGCCTGCACACGATTCCCGGCGTCGAGGGCAGCCAGTTCCTCGACGCGCAGCTCCTCGGGACGACCTCCAACTTTGTCTTGCACCTCGGCACGCTCGAGGGCAAGCTCGTCGTGCGCAAGATGTTTTTCGAGCCGAGTCCCGAAGAAGCGCTCGTTCACAAGTTCAAAGAGTCGATCGCGATGCTCGCCAAGTAGACCACCCTCTTCCGCTAGCACCGAGATGGCTCATGGGACGGCGTAGGCTCGACGGTGGCGGCGGCGCGATCATCCCGCTCTTTGGCGCTGCGGCCGTCGATCAGCGGCGGCCCGTCATCTTTATGGAGTACATGGAGCGTGGCGATCTACGGTCGGCGCTCACGGGCAAGGCCGCGCTCTCGTGGCCGACGCGCCTCCAGATTGCGCTGCAGGTGGCCAAGGCGCTCGCCAAAATGCACGCGATGGACTTGATCCACCGCGACCTCAACTCGAGCCACATCCTCCTCTCGCAGACCAACGTCGCCAAGGTCACGGGGCTCTCGAACGCCCGGGAAAAGTCGCCGTCGTCGATGACCAACAACGTCGGCGACTTTCGGTGGGCGGCGCCCGAGACGATGGTCGAAGGCAACCTCTACTCGGAGAAGGCGGATATCTACTCGTTCGGCATCATCCTCGTCGAGCTCGACACGCACGAGCTGCCGTACGCGCACATGAAGGACAGCAAAGGCCGGCCGATGCGCGCGTTTGCGATCAGCGACGCGATCCGCAAGGCGACGCCGGGCGCGCCCATCACGCAGCACAAGTTTTGCGACAGCCCGTCGTGGTACCAGGAGCTCGCGCGCGAGTGCACGAGCTTGGACCCGACCGCGCGGCCGTCGGCGGTCGAGCTCGTGCGGCGGCTCCAAGAGCACCTGCGCGCGCCGTCCAAGGTCGCGGCGCCCCCGACGCCGGCGGTCGTCAACGTGCGGCTCACGGTCGTCGAGGCCAACTCGATCTTGGACACGCAGGCGTTCGGGACGCAGAGCCCGATCTGCAAGGTCGGACTTGGCGGCAACGAGTTCTCGACGCAGCCGCACAACCGCGGCGGCCGCGCGCCCCGCTGGAACGAGCGCTTTGACTTTTTCAACGTCAACCTCATGGAGATGGTGCTCGAAGCCAACATCCTCAACGTGCAGTGGTGGCTCGAGGGCCAGATCGGCAAGTGCAACCTCCCATTGCACGAAGCGCTCGATGGCAAGCACGGCTGCCGCCGCCGCATGTGGCTGCCCGTCTACTCGCGCGGCGACAACCACGGGTACCTCACGATCGACGTCGAGTTCCAAGGCGACGTCGTGCGCTGGCTGACCGAGTACGTGGCCGCGATGGAGTGCTACGTGGCCGCGCTCGGGGACGCCGAGAGCGTCGCCAAAGACGAAGCGCTGCACAAGATTGAGGTCGCGCAACGCCTCGTGGACCAAGTCGAAGCGGCGCCGTAGCCACTCGAACGCTTCGTAAGCACGTAACACGATGCTTGTCGTCCTGAGATCGCATCTTCCCGCGGCGACAGACCCTTTTGATGGAAGCAAAGAATCACGATAATCAAGCTGGATGATGAAGGTCGATAACGCCAAGCTTCGTCGACGCGCGCCACAACCCAGCGCAGGACCAGCCGCGTGCGAGCTACTTCAACGACGCTGCAACCTTGCCCCGGTAAGTTCTCAGTGCAGTGCTGGGTACCTCGCAGGCCGATGGTCAACGCTACAAAGCAGCGAATTGCGTACGTCGTGCAATGACCTCCTCGTGTCATCGAGGCAGGCGGTGGCTCCGTTGCCGACGACGCAACGACGGCTCAAGGTTGCACAGAAAGGCCGAGATATCATCCGGATACCGTGCATCCGGCATCCGGCCAAGATCCCACTCTGAAACGAAGCCTGCGTATCACCCACTTCCGATTCGACCGACGACCAGCACGGCCATGGACGTGACCATCATGTGCCAAGTGTGCAACCACCCGAACGACATGCTGACGCCCGTGTGCGTCAGCGACAACTGCGGCGACGCGCTCCCGGGCTACGACAAGAAGATCAAGATTTTGCTCCGGCGTCTCGAGCAGTTCAACAAGGCCCTCGCCGCCGGTGGTGGTGTCGCCGACAACAGCGACGCCACGTCGCTCGTTGCGGATCTCCGGCGCAAGCTAGAGGCAACGCAACAGCGTGCGACCGAGCTCAAGCATGAGCTAGAGACCCTCAAGGAAGCGCTCGCGGACGCGTCGGCGCACCGGCGTGGGACGTTGGCCCACGTCGGGTCGAGCTCCGACATGGATGCCGAGCGCAAGCGTCTCGCCGAGGAGCGCAAGGAGATCGACATGATGCGCCGCCTCTTCACGTCGCTCCAGACGATCCCGTACATCGACCTCTCGCAGTTCCGCTTCCAGAAGGCGCTGCCGGGCGGCGGCAACTTTGATTTGCAAGTCGGTCTCTTTGACGGCAAGCGTACAGTGCTCAAGAAGCTCGTGCGCAACGGCCTCGGCGACGACGTCATCGAGCACTTCAAGTCGTCCATCTCGCTCATGGCCAAGTACGTTGCCGCGCCTATATCTGTCTTGATCGCTCATACCCCGTAGGTTGGACGGCGGTGGTGGCACGGTCGTGACGCTCTACGGCGCCTCGGGGCTCGGCCAGGCGTCGCCCATGATGTACATGGAGCACATGGAGCGCGGCGATTTGCGCACCTTTCTGCACACGACGAGTCCGAGCGCCGTGTCGTGGAAGACCCGCCTCGAGATCGCGCTCAACGTGTCCAAGGCGATCGCCAAGATGCACTCGCTCGACTTGATCCACCGCGACTTGAGCAGCTACCACGTGCTTCTGAACGAGCGCAACGTGGCCAAAGTCACGGGCTTCTCGAGCGCGCGCGAGAAGGACCTCGAGCAGATGATGACCAACGGCGTCGGCGACTTTCGCTGGGCGGCGCCGGAAACCATGAATGGGTCTGGGAACTACTCGGAGACGGTCGATATTTACGCTCTCGGGCTCCTCCTCATCGAGCTCGACACGCATGCGGTGCCGTACTCGTCGTACAAGGACAAGCAGGGCCGGAGCCTCGGCGACTTTATGCTCATGGAAATCATCCGCAAGGCCGTGCCCGGCCAGACGACCATCACGCACGCGTTTGCGAGCGCACCGCTGTGGTACCAGGACCTCGCGCTGCGCTGCGTGTCGCTCGACCCGAACGCCCGGCCGTCCGCGGTCGACGTCGTCGCGGAGCTCCAAAAGCAGCTGCGCGAAGGCTCGTACGACAACGTCCGGTCGATTCGCCGGCTCCAGAAGCCGCCGCCGGTGCTCAACGCCAAGATCTCGGTGGTCCGCGCCAAGAACCTCCTCGACACGCAGGCGTTTGGCGTGCAGGATCCGTACTGCCGCCTCAGCCTCGGCGGGCGCCTCGCCAAGACCAAGGTGCACGACAACGGCGGGTGCGACCCCAAGTGGTCGCAGACGTTCCCGTTCAACAACGTGCACCCGATCGATATGATCCTCGAGATCAACATCATGAACAAGAACTTACTTTTCGACGGCCAGATTGGCAAGGTGACCGTGCCGCTCGAAGAGACGCTCGAGAAGATCGACGCGGAGAACGTCTACGTCGGGTGGTCGCCCGTCTATAGCCGCGGCGAAATGAAGGGCCACGTGCTGCTGCGCTTCGAGTACGAGGGCAGCGTGGCCAGCTGGCTCGAGGCGTACGCTGCCGAGATGTCGCTCTTCCATGGCGTGGAAGGTCATGTCCGCGACATCCGCCAGGATGAAGTCGTCATGAAGAAGGTCACTGAGATCTTCTTGCCTCGGCTCAAGGACATTGCATCGGCCGTCGCCAACGTCGCGGGCAAGGCCGCTTAAGTCCATGACATCAACTAGCTTTCTTTTGGAATTGACGCGAGGAGGATGCACCAAGATTGGCCAGTTCGATGTCGTGCAGAGCCTTTCGCTTGGGATAACTCTAGGCTTTGACTACAGTCAACAGCTTGTCATCAAAGCAATGGCAACGGCCAGGAGAGGCAAGCTGGATGTTGTGGGTAGCAGAGAACACATGATGCTTTTGTGGGGTAGCTTCTTCGTCTGGGATCTAAAACGGCAGGCAACGGCTCGTGGAACGCGGCGGGCGAGATATGGCTGGTCCCGTCTCTGATGCTCGAGAAGATTTTGCGTCGGTGCTCACCGATGCTTCGTGGGACCCATGGCGTCACGTCGTGAGCGACGAAGAGGACGTGTTGTGGCCCACGGTACAGCTGCTTTGACTCTCTCCAAGCCGACTGGTCATTTTTGGACGGAGTGAGATCGCTTCAACGGCAACCTGTTTCCACGTGTTGCCACGTCATC